ACAGCAGCAGCAACAGCAGCAACAGCAGCAGCAGCAACAGCAAAAGCAGCAGCAGCAGCAGCAGCAACGGCAAAATGGGGATAAATGCTGCATCCTACAGCACACCTGCTGCTGCTGCTGCGGCTACTACTATTGCTGCTGCTGCCGCCGCTGCTACTGCTGCTGCTGCTGCTCCTACTGCTGCTGTTGTTGCTGTTGCTACTGCTGCTACTGCTGCTACTGCTGCTACCGCTGCTACTGCTGCTGCTGCTACTGCTACTGCTGCTGCTGCTACTGCTGCCCGTGCTGCTGCTGCTGCTGCTACTGCTACTGCTGCTGCTGCTGCTGCTGCTACTACTGCTGCTGCTGCTGCTGCTGCTGCTGCTGCTCTTACCAGGAGGTGCTTCTGCTGCTCTGAGAGATCCTCCTGCTGCTGCAGGCCCTTGAGGAGCAGCAATTGGAAACGGGCTGAATTGCTGCTGTTGCTGCTGCTGCTGTTGCTGCTGCTGCTGCTGCTGGTGCTGCTGCTCCTGCTCCTGCTGCTGCATTGCTTCCTCCTCCGCTTCCATCATCATCTGCTGCTGCTGCTGCTGCAGCTGCTGCTGCGCCAGCCCCCCCAGGAAGGCAAACCTCTCCCCCACAACTTCTGCTGCTCTCGTAGGCACGAGCTGCTGCATTTCAGTCTGCTGCTGCAGCGGCTGCTGCTGCAGCTGCTGCTGCAGCTGCTGCTGCCGCTGCTGCTGCGGCTGCCATCTCTCGTCGTCTGGTGTTTCGGTTCCAAGCCTCTGCCTCTGCTGCTGCTGTTGCTGCCGCTGCTGCTGCTGCTGCTGCTGCTCGTGTTGCTCTCGCGCCTGCTGCTGCAGCTGCTGCAGCGTGCCAAGCTGCTGCTGCTGCTGCTGCTGCTGCTGCTCATCGCCCCACATTTGCTGCTGCTCGAACGGATCCCCCAAATCTGCTGTTCTGAATTCTCCCATAACAGGGACAAAACCCTCCCGCTGCTGCTGCTGCTGCTGCTGCTGCTGCTGCTGCTGCTGCTGCGGTGGCGGCGGGGGCGGCGGCGGGGGCGGCGGCTGCTGCAGCTGCCACTGAACAGAGCCCTCCATTTCCCAAGGTAGTTCCTGCTGCT